GGGACATAAAGTGGGAAATGGTGAGATTAAACCACTGCCGGAGAAAATTTTGACGATTAAAACGATTCCAGCCCCGAATTCAAAGAGAAAACTGAGACAATTCTTGGGTAGAGCAGCGTTTTATAGTCGCTTCGTGAAGAACTTCAATGAGATAGCAGCCCCTCTATACAGGCTACTAGGTGAGCCAAAGTTTGTTTGGTCGGAAGAATCGCAGAGGACATTCGACAGAATTAAACAGCTGCTCGACCACCAACAAATGACGCTAAAACTACCTGTACCAGGAAGACAGTTCACAGTGTGCACAGATGCCAGTGACTACGCTATAGGTGCGGTCCTAAGACAGGACGAGGGAATCGTTGAGTATGCCAGTAGGGTTTTGACACTCACAGAGAGAAAGTATTCAACGATAGAGAAAGAATGTTTAGCAATGGTATGGGCAGTCGACAAATGGAGACCTTATTTACTCGGCCGGCGGTTCCACATCGAAACTGATCATAAGCCGCTACAATTTTTGAAGACAGCGAGAGACCCACGGGGGAAGTTGTCACGGTGGATGTTGCGTCTTCAGGAGTACGATTTTACGATCTCACACGTTCCTGGAAGTGAAAATGTCTTGGCAGATTTGTTATCGAGACCAGAAGATGAGTCTGAGTTGCCCGAGGTCGCTTACGGAGTGCATGCAGTAGAACAAGACCCACTAAGACTTGCACGTAGGCAGAGGTTGGACGATACGCTGAATACAGTAATACAGGTGATCACCAACGGAATAGAAGTGGATCAAACTACGGCGAGTAAGGAGCTAACCACACTACTCAGACAGAGGGATCGACTCAGAGTGAATGCCTACGGGACTCTGACCTGGCGAGAGAACGACGGAAGCTGGCTGGCTGTCATACCTCAATCGTCGCGCCACGACATGATAGAAGAATGTCACCAGCTAGCGCATACAGGCGTGGCCAGAACGACCGACCTCCTAAGACAAAGTATGTACTGGCCAGGTATGAGAGAAGACGTAGCAAGATACGTACTTGGATGTCCACGGTGCCAGCTGATGAAAGGTGACCGGTGATACGACCACCACTTCAGTCGATTCCAGTTACCGCGATAGGTGACTTGTGGTCCGTAGATGTCATGGGTCCATTTCCTCAGACATCCAATGGTAATCAGTACCTCTTGGTGATGACGGAACACGCGACACGATGGGTAGACGCCGTAGCAATCCCAGACCAACGTGCAAGAACCGTGACAGATGCAGTAGTTAGACACATTGTTGCAGACCACGGCGTACCGAAGACAATACTGACAGACCAAGGTCCCTGTTTCGAGAGTGAAGAGTTTACTTCCCGTTTGCAACAGCTGGGCATCAAGAGGATCAGAACGACCCCATACCATCCACAAACGAATGGCCTAACGGAGAGAAACAACCGTACACTGAAGGAGTGGCTGGCCTCGAAGGGCGGGAACTGGGAAACGGAGCTTCCACTGATTTTACTAACACATCGGGCTACCACTCAGGAAACAACGAAGAAGTCACCCTTCCAACTGATGTATGGTAGAAAACCACGATTACCGGTACACAATGAGACCTGGCCCATGCACCAAAAGTGGAGTACGACGAAATTAAAAGCAGAGAGGAAAGAGGCAGTCAAGAATGTAATACGGAAGCAGCGCAGTGATGTCGCGAAGTCTCAGATGAAAGAAAGGACGCAGTGCATTACCTTTGCAGTCGGGGACCAAGTGAAGTGTAGAGACAGGAGATATACAGTTGGAGGCGGGCTAGGTTCACGGAAACTCCTTCCAAAGTGGGAAGGACCATACACAATCACAAAAAGACGGGGTCAAGTATATACCATCCGAAGAGGTGATAAACAGAAACGAGTTAACGCCAGTCAGCTCCAAAGATGGGTACAGTGGGACAAGCCGGTCAGTAACAATCCTCAACTAGAGGATGTAGCACCCAGAAGGTCGGAACGTCTGCGCACGAAGCTATTTGACGGGGGGACGAGTGTGGTGAGAGCAGGCTGCTAGCCAATTGGTAGACATTAATCGACGCTGATTGGTAGACATTAATCTAGGCTGATTCAACAACCAATCACAGCAGACTTAAACGTGGGCAAATATGATTCGCAGATAAATGGCTCTACTTTCCGAGAAATATCGAAAACAACCAATCAGAAGACTGTGTTTGTCTGCTTAACTTCCGAGAAACAACCAATTAGAAGACTGCCTTTTTCTGCTTGCATAAGCCTTATTAATGTACATAAAATATATATAAATACGCGTTGATTTTCGTAATAAAATGATCTGTTGCCTGGCCCTTGTCTTCTGTTGTTACAGTAGTAGTCCAGAGTTTTATTTTTGGCTTCTTTGGATATCCAGGCACTTATGTGGAAAATGTCACACGTTCAGTTTTTGTGCCATAAAAGTCTCTCAGAACAGCTTGAGTCAATACCTTGGTGGTGACTGCGGAGGACAGAATGAGATGGAGATGTTTCAGGATTTCATCATGAACTGATATCGGTTAAAGGACCAATGAAATACCTTCAGGGAGTCCTGTACAGTCGTCTCCTAGATTGAGACTCTTCGTCAGCACGCACCCACTGAGTTTCGAACCCAAGACCTTCTGGCTACATGGCGGACTCGTAGATCATTAAACCCCTGGCACTCGATCCAGTAGTTCACGAATTCCAACTTCTGCCAATTCATGATACGGCGCGACCACTAGAGAATATCATCGGCGAGTATTTGTCCCTACATCCGCAGGTCACGCAATTGTGTTGCTGAAGCCTTATGTTCCATGCAAAACCCCGAAATGATAATAATAAGTTACTGATAAAATGCATCAGAATGCAAGAAATTTCTTGTACGTAACGAAGCGTGTGAGATTCGAGTCTGAAAAGAGATCTTTGCACAGAGAAAAAAAGGGTAATCACTATACATCCATCCTAGTTGCAGCTGACTTGTGAAAGAGCTGTCCGACTTACTTTATTCTACTGTTTTTCCCTTTTCCATATACTTTTATGTTCCGCTATTCGTACACTTTTGTCTTGGCTTTTATTTTGTCTAATTCATTCAGCGATCTTATGTCCAAATTCAGTCGTACAGTTTCACTATTGTCACTTATATGTATTTGCTTTGCAATGTAAAAGGTCTTCAGTTTTAAACTGTTATAATGCCAATTATCCAATAAGTAACATCATTTCGCAGTGATATGATTTAGTTGGATTTAACTCTATAGAATATTCAAGATTAATTGTATGCACTTCCCAACTTTTTCAAATTATACTGACTTGCCAAAATCTTTGCCTCCAAGTGAATATGTTTTTGTAACTTGCATTCTGATTTAATGTTATTTATATTTTCTACTAAACTTCAATCACTGTTTATAAGGAAGTATGTGAAGTTTTATTTGAGATTTCTGAACTCATTAAATTCCGTCTTACCAAATTGCATTGTGTGATTTAAAAGTATAAGGGTAATGAATATGGTAGCGGGAGATGATAATCTCAATTCCAAGAACTGATGTTTAGGTAACTCCTTTCCACAACAAAACCAAAAGCACCGTAGTACTGTACTATTACTTAACTGAGAAACCATATTCCATAGGTTTCTGTCATTCATAGGGAATAAATAGCTACAGTAATTCCAGTCCAATTACCAATTTATTTACTGCTAAGTTCTACCATGAAGCAGTTTTTTTTACTCATCAAAATGATAAAATGCCTAAAATGATGCTAAGATATCTCTGAAATTAACAGTAAAAGGGTTTGTAGAAAAAGTAGAATTGGTTAAAAAAGAAAAATCACCTTTAGTACATGAGTTAAAAACATCCTGGCTATGAATGATAGATTAGTACAACTTTCAGTCTAAAAAGAATTACAGATTTAATTATTTATTTTATTGATCTTCTAAGTGATAATTAGAACTGACACAGTGTAATCCCTCAGTTTTATTTTAATTATGAAATAGTGATTACGTGGCATGTGCTACTGATGAGATTTATCAGTAGTATATGAAAAGAAATTCATCGTCATAAAAACATCAAATAGCAAGGAGATAGATAGATTGATGTCAGAGAAAACTGATAATACATCATTGCGGAGATACATGGGAGACGTGAAAAGAGCACAATAAAACATAATATGAACGCCAGAAGTAGCACAACATGGTAAATCTGGTCAAATGGTGCTTTGAAGATAAGGTGAACATAATTTCACTTTAAAGGGATACCAAGGATCTGTCGTTCCCTACCGATAAAATTGACATGAGACCTGTCTCCTTAAACACTACTGACAAATCTTATCAGTAGCCCACGCCACAATTATACATTCTGAAATAATTTTCACATATAAACAAAACTGGATTCCTTCTTATCGTGTAATTTTCCTACATTCCTATATTTGACATGGAGTTATAGTCAATATGATACAGTTTACCCAAAAATCTATTCATTATTCAAGATATTTTGTTCAAACTGATGTAATAAAGAAAGCAGAAGGCTCAAAATAAATAATCCGATAGCTGATATTTGTGCATTTGCACAAGTGAAATAATCAAAAATGACACTTATTTAAAAAGATGTAATATTTTCTGTATGAAATAACAGTTTTAACTCAAATAACCAATACTAAGTTATGTCTTTGAACGAAATGCATCAAGGTTAGTGTTTATTAAGTTCATGTATATAAACAGATTGATCCTATTTTAAAAACCAACAGAGGTGTAGACTTACAAAAATTTAGATTAAACATTCCTGATTTCCTATCGAAGCTTATGGTTCAATGTTATTCAACAAGTACTCAATACTAGAAAAAAATGCTTGCTTGCTTAAAAAATCAAAACATCATGCATTTATTCCCCTTGATAAATTTGAATAAAGCAAGAACAACAGTGATTTGTGCAGAATAACATGGTACCAACAAGATTTTTTTAAACATTTCGGTGTGTAAGTCACAACTTCTTCAGTAGGACATATTGAAAGAATTTCTCAAATATCTTACTTGAGGCATTTTGACTGAAAGCTGAGCATGAAGTTTATCTCTTTCCCTTTCAACTTCATTTAATCTAGTTCTTGTTGCATTAACTTGTTCTTGTGATTCTCGTAATCCTTCCATTAATCTATCCCGTTCATCTAACATACTAAGCAACATGTCTTCAACATTTGTACCATCTCCACTGGTGAGTGAATCTCGATCACCCTGTAAGTGTATATAGAAAAAATTATAAAGTAATGAAAATATTTTATTCAAATTTTTACTTTCACAAATAAATTATTGCCATTTTTGGAGGAAAAGTGAAGTAAGGTTCCATAAAAATATAAATCTTATACAAGTGTGAAATGAAACCAAATCATCTAATGTTAAAGATCAATAAATAAGAGATCCTTGAATTCGATCTTCTCCTACAAGAAGGAAGTATCTAAAACCTAAAGAAAACTCGTTCATCTTTTCAAATCCAACTTTACTCAGCATGATATGATCATAAAACCATTTGGTTCACTCATTGCTTCCTTTTAGTGTGGTTGATATGTATATACAATTTGCCACATGGTGATAATTTGTTAACTTCTGTACGAAATGGGCAAAGGCTATAATGTCAGACCCTCTGCACCCCCTTTATTCACACCTGTCCCCTTGTATCTCATCAGGTAGGACGAGAAGTCAATATAAAAAGATATATGCTCGTACTACTAAGTATAAAAATTCTACAATACCCTATTTAGCGCGTACTTTATGTGACGAAGACTCTGTTAGACGTGAAACTTACAAGTTACTATGTAATTAGCACAGTGAATCGACCCTTTTATCGTTCATCTTTCTGTATTTTATGGTGTTACACTTTCTATCGTTTAAATCGTTACTCTGCTATTTTATATTAGTTGGTATTACTATTATTACTACAATTTTGTACTTTATACATATTTTTCTCCGTATGGCACACAGTATATTTTGCTACGTAGCTGCTACAACAATCGTTTTATTACTATTATGTATTGTGTATTTTTAATTTTTTTTTGTCGTTTTTGGGTAAATTAGATGCAATATTGTACTGAATGCTGAAAATTCCTTGCTGTATCATGAGTACTGTTTTTGGAATAAAGCTATTATTATTATTATTACGTCGAATATGTTTGGGTTTCACACACACACACGATGTTTTTATTTCAAGATTTGTTAAGAGAGCTGAGATATTTAATCGAAAGCTTAGGAGGTAGTTTCTAGGATTCATATTACCAGATTACTCTCCCGTTTGAATATTAGGTAATCTTTTTCACAGTAAACTAATCCACACAAATGCCTTTCAAAGTCTTTAGGACTTATGAAAGCTTATTTATTCTAAAGGAAAGAAAGATTAGTCAGGATATCTTTTTTCAAAAGTAAAGTGATATTCTTATTGAGAGGCTTATAAATCCTTGCAAACTATATCAAGATAAGATATATACTCAACAAAATGTATATATATGTTGATAAAGATTTTTTGTTTGTTACTGCATCTGTCCGTAGAACACTTGATGCACGATGACCTTGAATAGTGCGAACATAGTGCACAGTTTGACTGTTGAAACAGGTCTACTTTTAGGACTGTGTAAAAACAGTTTACTGAAAGGAGGACACAGAACAGTCAGCAGTTCAGTTCTGGAGCACATGAGTACTCCCAGTCATACCATATCAGCAGAGACTTCATTCATCATCACAGATAAGGTAACATGAAGTCATCCGAAAGGACTTCATTTACATATTCTTCATTTAGCCGAAGCTATAGAAATCCAAATGGGAAAACTTGGACTTCGTGTTCAGAAATGTTTAGTCTAATCTGAGTATAACAGAAATAATTATGAGAATAAAAACCTAAAACACAACAGGATTTAAACCAGTGGTCTTTATGTCTGAGTTATGTTAGAGACAGATTTCGCTTCAGATTCAATAATCATGGCTTACAAAAACAAAAGCCTTTCATATTTCTGGTTAGATCACTAACTAACATCAGATAAAGAACCATTGGAAACCAGGGTGTATTGTACAATTATTTCGTTTTAGTTTGGAACCTATCAAATTTTCAGTAAATGGTGTGATTTATCTATTAAGTCCTTTGAACTTTTTATTTGCTTAACTCTGAGTTTTGAAACTTTTAAACAATATTTTGGTACATATGACTTTGTTTATTAGCCAACTTTTAATAACTCGACGAATCCCTGGTGAATTTATTCACCAGATAATGATCACCTTAATGTTAAAAAGAGACTTTGATTCAAGTATTTCATATGATTAAATGCAATAAATAGTAATTTGTTAGATGATGACTAGCAGTAGAATCCAAAACGGGGATTGAGACACGTCAGCTGGATGTTTCTGCATTCCTCAGTGAGTGGTTTTGTTTCCACTGAGAGTAAAATCCAGTACCCACTATTTCAAACGCCCACATGTCAACGGAGGCCGAACATTACAATCCAGTCAATCAGAGGGAAAATTAGAACTAACTTATACAAACGATATCCTTCAGGCAATCTACATTTATTATACTACTTCGGAACTTAGTATACATGGTTTATCGCCTCAGTTATTCAACTCACAGTTATAAAATCCAAATGTCTGAAAGCTGTTTTGTCTATGCAACCCAATGGGAACGTTAGCCCTTACATAATCAGCTTTGTCCCAGTAGAGTACAGTAAGTTATAAGTTGTGTCTGGTGGCGAAGTCACATCATGGGCTGACAGTGTAAAACATCTTGTTAATCCATTCAGACACAGAATTATGAAGTAAAACATTTTATACAATTTGTTCTAATAAATTTCAATACAATGGTATCATGCATGATACTAGCAGCCGAAATTATCTCTTCTTTTCCAGATGGTGGTTAATCAGCATTTGTTGAAAATCTTCAGAAAGATATATTTTAAACTCACTAAAAATCAGGCTTTCTTTAAGTTTTATGATCTTACTTTTCAACACTGTGGTTTCGTATATTATCTACAAGACAGTTAGAATCTTTGTGACGTCTGGCGTTCCTACCCTCTATCCTTCAGAGATACATGGGTACCCACCGCTTAAAAGTTTAACACTATAGACAAAACTTTGTCCACTACTCAAAAGTTCGAAATAACACTACAGATAATTTCGTTTCTTGAAAAGATACTCCTTGAAGTCAGCAGCATAATCAAAACTTTTATCAAACTACCAATAATCTACAATTAAAAGAAAAAGGTGTCATTACTACCAGCGGTACCGTCAACCAGGCAAGTGATTTTCGTCACCTCTAGACTTTGCTTTCAGTTATTTTGTTGCTGGTTATCAGACTGTTAAAATCATGGGTTAAGTTTATTTTTTATTTTGACAGCTGGAATATTTTTAAGATATTCTGTAGCATTATCAGTGAGAGGCACCTCTAGACAAATGAGTTTTTCAACTATCAGTGATTTTCAATTTTGATATATTTTACACTGAACACAGTTTATCTTCGAAATAAGGGCTTACACTACGAAGCAATGTGGATTGAGGAGAATTTCAAGGTTAGACACATTTTTCATCTATTCACATATAAAAAATAAGCTATCTTTACTTCTTAAACACTGTCTACACAAGCTTCTTGAAATTAACTGAATATACAGTTTTAATATGTTCATTTTTTCAACTGGACTAAGTCATTTCCTTAAGTTTCTGTGTACTTGTAAATCTTTGACACAATATGGGCTGTAGTAGTTAATATATTTATATAACGAAGTGAAGGACTTATATTATTTTTCTCAAGAAATTTGTGAATGAAATTTGTACAAGATTTTACGACACCGAATGATAGTTATTTCATTGAAGATGACCAATAAATCAATCTTCTGAAGTTAATATTATATGCTTAGTGACTGATGTAAATCACAGGTTTGCTTGCTGTGAAAGGTGGTCGACTTTCTAGTTGACTATCCTCATCATCTTTACCTTTATCCCACTGCTCAATCAATTCCTTCTATTTCAGCTACGTTCACTTCTTTCCTGGTCAATCTTTTCCTATTCTGCTAGGCTAGCTGAGGTTATTTCTAATGGTAAGAAGCCACCGGAAGTTCCTGAAACTCATACAGTCTGCATTATTCAATGTTATCTTTCTATTCATAGAAATTTTGAATTGTATAGAGAACGTAAAGTAGATAAATTAGCTCATAAAGAATTAGCTCTGTGCAATAAATACTATGACGCTGGATGTATCATATTTATGTCGGCCTTAACGACAGTAAGTAACAAATGTTCTTTATTTCATGCAAGTATATATCAATTCAATATACTAACTTCAGTGTTCAAATTCCTTTATCTGTCGCAGCTAAATGATTTACGGTGAACCTCATTTATTCTTTACCACCGTTTAAACCTGTGCGTTAATACTGAACACTTGATATCTGTACTGTTTCTTAAGGTAAAATTTAGGCTAAGCTGTTGTTTTCTTAATTAACTGATACCACCTAGATTAATCATTCCAAAGTAGGACAGATATTCATACTAGTTTGAAACTCTTCAAAACTGTGCACTTACAACCAGATAACCAAGCTAGCTGACGGCCGTTAGTTAATCAGACGAGTTCGTCATCGTTCAGCCGATGTATCGGAATTTAATAGGCTTTTGTTTGTAATTCTTATTTGTCCATAATATGATGCTACCATTATTCAATATCAGTGGGGATTATCTGTTTTCGCTTTTAACTTAGTGGACCCCACTTGTCATGGATTCTCATGAGAACCTCCATAAAATTTATCTTGAGGCCTGTCACTAGTGTACAGTGGACTAAAACTAATTTTTTTTAGACTTGTAGAGATTTTACAAAATCAAACTTGAGTTCTTTGGGTTTCGATGAGTAGTGGTGGCTAGAAATATTCAGTGCCCCCTGCTTCGGACAGTCCTTCTGGCTGATGTTAGCTTCTGAGTGAAACAGCCCAAAATCTTAGGTTAGGTTTATCACAAACCAAGGGGTCTTAGTCTGTAATTCTCGTGAATACTTCTCATTACCATGATATAACCTAAGTATACTGACCGAAATGTTATTATTTACCCATTTCATTGAATATACTGACGATTTATATTGTGTTTTGAAATAAAATACCTCAAATCTGGTTCATTTATCATTGTCAAGTAAGTATTTATCTTCATTCGTCTCAGCAAGACCATCACTCTTCAGTCATGCTGTCAGTTCATCTGCTTTACTACAAATTAGATAAAAATCTAACTTCATCAGGTTTAACTGACTATCTTGAATAAGACAGTTCAAATTCTAATATTCTGTTTATTTAACTATACTTTCCAAAAAATTACTATACATATATGGTATACTGAAAGATATAGAATCGACTAATCTCAGACGGTGTCATGGTTACCTGAGATCCAACATCTTCCGTAATTGTTGGCATAACATCACAAATCATTTTATGAGGGTAATGTATAATTAAATGAATTTATTCCATCTGAAATAGAAAAAATGTGGAAAAATAAGATATATCGTTTCGGTCATAAAAGATGGAAACGAATAAACACATTTGATAGATGAGCAAACTCTTATCATGACTGAAAATAGACACCAGGTGCTTTTCATGTCAGATGTTTTCTACCAGCCAGAACAACCAAAGAGTAGATTTGAAAAGTTCTCACAGCTGAAATCCAACTACTTAAGAGCACTTTAAAGAGTTTCTAAAAGTAATGTGGTGAAGCGATGAACCAAAGAGTCCATCTATAAAAGTTCACATGTTCTAGTGGACTTATCTTTTCAATTTATGGTACAAAATTCTCTCAAGCAACTGACTTTGCACAAGCCACTGACCCAAACAGTAATTCTCCTTGAAATGGAGATCTAGATGTCTTAGTGAGGAGACTCAACCTAAAGTTTTACCCATTTACTGTTTAATATTATGCTCATGATCCCAACACAAGATCATGGCTGGATAATGTGATTTTTTTACTTGGTTCACTACATCTTATGGGGTAATATGAAAAATTATTCTTCATGAACTTTCAGTTGTCCTATCCATAATTTAACTAAGTCACCATAGTTCCATTCTGGCTTATAGCTACAACTCACCTAACTGTCTCAACTGTTTTGTAAAACCAAGCCGGTGTTAGGGATTAAAGTTTAGTACAATGAGGCAAATCAGCAATAAATCATATATTCTGCTTCTTTGATTTGAATCAAAATTTCGTGTTAAGCAAACCATTTAATAAAAGCGGACTGGATTTGGTTTAATAGACAGTGGCTGATCAAAATGCCAAGTGGTTTATGCGAAACTGCAGTCTAATTTACAGACATTTCAACAGTTAAGTCAGTGGAGCACTGTGCAGTGACACCAAAAGCCACTGGTTGGAATTCTAGAAGAGCTAGATTTTTATCTTAGCCTTGATTCACAACCAATTTTTAAATATTGATATGCAAATTATGGTATTGACAAATGGTCTGATTTACAGAATCACTATAAAGTGGAACATTCGCTCACATGGTTTTAGGTGAGTAAATTTATAATACAATGCTTTATTTCAACAAAACACATTGGCAGTTAAAAAAGTTCAGTATGAAAACATTGTTTCCTGGAATCACTTGAGTTTTATAAAGGGCTTTATCTTGGCAATTAATTATGAATCCCCTTGGTTCATACTCTGTGTGCAGTTGCATACATTTATAGTTATAGAGTTTCTGTAGGTTTATCTTATAAAAGCAGAACTCATTTGTAGTTACTGAAGCCAGCAGAAATCACTCGAAAAACTTGTATTTTGCTTGACTCGCTTACTATATTTTTTACATTGTAGTTTGCCTCTCATGGAAAGTATGAGCATATACACACTATACAAAATATCTTGTATATTTGTAACCCACATGTTCCCCATTTTTCATTGCTGCGGGTAACCTTCCTGGTAGAGAATCCATAACAGTCTTAGTTTCAATATGAGATGATAATTTAGAAACCTTTTTATCCTCTTTTTATCTTAAGATAGTACGATAATCCTCGTAAGGTGGCTGGATAAAATATCAGTTAAAAGGCTAATGTAAATATCTGGACACTTGCGCAGCTTCCCGCTTATACACATCTTGTAAACTAAAGAGCTCAGTGACGCGAATAAAAAAGCTCCTTTGGCATTTTGAAGGCAGAATATGTAAACTGTGATAGGCCATAACGGTGGCATATATGCATTGATACTAAGGTGAGCAGTGCATAAGGTGAGGTCAGCAAAAATGAACCTATTATCACCACAAATAACACCATCTCACGTGTAATACATTAAACAAACTAATGCTAAAATGGAAACTATATACATCGCTGAAAACGCATCTAACTTTAATACTGCTAATTTACGTTTCTGTAACTAGGCATTACTATACTTATATATATATATATATATATATATATATATATGTACCTTAACAAAAAAGTCACAGAGTGAATCAAATGAAGGCATTGTCAATTATAAAGTAGTTAGTTCTACGCTAAACAAAGTAGTAATTTCGTCCAAGATTTACAGATGGACTTCAAGTGTTCTGTCGTTTACACGTATTGGTTTCTGTAGGAATTTTTTTGATTGCTTGGAGGATTTCATCATGGCAGAAGTTACAATTCACGGACTGTCCATTGGATCGGGTCCCAGTGGCTCAATAGCCTACGAGCTAGCCTTGTAACCAGAAGATCCTGGGTTCGAACCCCACTGGGTGCGTACAGATGGGGAGTCACAAATTGGGGCGAAACAGCTGTCCAGTATTCCCAGGCTTTCCAGTGGTTCTCTAACTGATGTCAGCTTTTGCTGAAATCCTTCAACCAAAGTTCTGTTATTAATTCGGTATACCTTTTAAAAGTTCAACATGTTGATAACAAAAATTACCCGAAGTGGAATGTCAGCTAGTATATCCAGGTATACCAGCTGTGTTCTTTCTGTATGATAGAAGAGTAATAACGTACAAAGATGATGGCATATGGTGAAGATATATCCCTAATTTTACCTTGATCTAAATGTTGTTTGTTAACTTGGAGTGTGGGGAAAATTATAATTAAGGCTGTCCAAATATATTGCTTTGATTTAAGTTTTTCTAAACTTCCTTCCACATTCAGCCGATTTTTGATTATCAACGTTTTATACTTATATCAATATCAAAAGAAAAATCTAACCGACCAAGTATCTCAGGGTTCATTATGTAACACTTTAGGTTGTAAATATTAAATCATGAGGTTTCTCGAACACAAAATGCCAAATCTTTCCTAAATACTTTAAGATTTATAAGCCTCATATTTTATTACGGGGGTAGGATACAGCAATTTTCAAACGTAAATTGTCGTCTACTAGCTAATGTATTTATTATTAGTCAATAGGGGGAACAAAGTACTCGGATGTGATTCCATTGTGGGTAAAATTTATTTCGATAAAGTCTCACAGGGTTATACAGTGATATTTACTGATGACTTTTCGAGCACAGCTTTTTGCTCATAATCATATCAAGGTACTCAAACACAAGGTAAACACACATGTGGTGTTATTACCTTGATATGATTATGAGCAGTAAATTGTGCTCGAAACGTCATCAGTAAATACCACTGTATAACACTATGAGACTTTATCGTAATAAATTTCACCCAAAATGGAATTATACTGTACCACAGTGCACAAGTTCTATTCTTATACTCGGATGTAATTTGGATGAAGTTGAGGAAGGGTAACCTAAAGAACCTGGTTTGTGGCCTTTCAAATCACAGTGAATGATGAAAACTGTTGCCTTAAAATGACGCAGCAGTTTCATTTTAACATATGTCTTACACAAGGAAAAGAAAGTTCTTAGTTACATCTTTTGAATGAGAAGCAGTAACCCTTCCAGTAAAAAAACGACTCCATATTCAAAACTTTCTGAAAGATATTTGGATCCTTTGCAACTCTTGTGTGGAGCTCAAACCAGTTGGCTAATGTATGTTATTCTATTTGTGATGAATATACCAAAATCCCAAATACATTTGGGGAGAATTGAAAATCCCCATGGAGTTATATGAAAAAGAGAGTGATTTTGGGAGCACCGCAAACAATTTGGGCAACACCTTAGATACACAGAAGTAACTCTAACAAATTCCAGCGAATAAGTCCTACACCCCATGTGCTCCCAATGTTTTTTATGGTTTACTTACCCGGTGATTTGCAATGCACCTCATATTTTTGCTAGCCGGGAGAAACAGTTTTAGGCAATGAATGTCTAACTCAGCCACAACATAGTTTAATTTTTCATTTGGCTTTTTTCTTCACATGTTACAAATTTAAGTGGAACTTAAAACACCGAATACTGCTTTCTCAGTTATTAGTTATGTTTCGGTCTAGTTTGAATTCTTCGGCCTACACCATGTTATAATTTTAAAGTGAGTTGACAGTAATAAGTCAGATGGACTTATGCAGATGAAAATCAAACTTGTGCAGATAACAGTAATATCATGTACACATTGATAAATATAAAAACGTAATGTTACTTTTTAACACCATAACTGATTTAGGAACTGAAAAAAATGAGTATAACATGGTCAGGATGGTTACATTTAAGTTCATTACTCTTAAACATATTTTGCAATTGTTAAAGTATGACGTTTTATGGATATAATCATTCCAAATAGCTTACGGTATAAATTGATACTAGACAACGATTTCCTTAAGCGGAGATCCTGAAATACTTACTTTCTAAGGTTGAAATAACAAGCTATTTAGTGAAATATTGTGTGCTGCTGTTAAAAACACAGATGAATTCTTTTCAACATAAATAAAATAATAATAAAAAACCTGAACAATAAACCTTGATGTAGGTGTTCACAGAAATTTAAGAACGACGAAATATTTTCCGTCATCAACTTTTGTTTTTCAAACATTATTATCTACTTATTTAACCAGTAATAGTCTTCCAATAACATTAGGTAGGTGAACATTTGAAAATAGACAACAAAATATGACGACTAGTGCATGGCTAAACTGTTATTTTCGTGAATATATAATTTATTAAATACAATCCAACATAAAAACCAAAAGACATACAATCGATATTTTTATAGTATTTAAATGTCCGCTGAAAAGGGAAATCGACTGTCATCATACGTTTGTACGTTAAAACAAAAGAATAATCAAGATTATTTTTTTCAAAATATGTTAGCACAAAAATGGTCTCAGATGTGTTCATTAATTTCGCATGTCTTTTTGAGGCTTTTAGCCGTACTACTAAATTGGGCTGGTTAGCCTGATTTCTTACTTGTATATGACAACTATAAGAGTGATGTGAGGTGAAATACATGAGGAAAACGGATTTAGTGGGATACACAAATCATTCACTTATCGAGCCCTATAAAATCACAAGAAACCGAAATCGGTTGCATTGAAATATCTTACAAATGACTGCAGGAAACACTTATCATCTACGAGATCAACAAACTAC